AGTCACTTCGGTGGCTTTACGAAAGTCAGCCGAGGTGATGCGCTGCTTCATTTTGGTGGAAGGTAACCATGGAAACGGAGGAGGAGGAGGACAGTTATCTATTCATGTGTGCACTAACATCTGTCCGGCGGTGACGGTGACGTGTCTGACGTGTCCGTTTGCATCAGAGGCGAGGCCGCAGTCGGCGAGGACGCAGGCTGAGCTGGAGCCGCCTGCGACGGACGCCGCGCCAACAACGCTCGCCTTTGTGTCGGCAGCTGGTCCGCGATGAGGAACGCTATTGATAGCCGCTAACTCGATCATTTCTGTGCCGTGAATCCGAGGAGGCAGCGAGTGAGAGACGTCTTAGCTGCAGAACAGGCCGGTTGGAAAACAACTGAGCGAACTTAGCAAAGTGCCACGAGGAGTCCGAGCTCACACGCTTCACTGTTCATGAAGAAGATGAGATATTGGTTCCGTCTCTACTGTTTCTACGCCATAGTGATGATAGTTATACCTGCAGACTCTTAATACTGTTGACATCATGTTTCCTACGAAGGAAAACTCCAATGAGATCCAGTTTTAATTTAAACTTTCATTTAAAACATCACATAGAAAAAAAACAAAACAAAAGCAGAGGTAAAAAAAAAGAAAAAGTCTAACGTCTACGTGGCTGGCATGCACGCTACTACACAGCAACACTAGTTCTTTTTGTTCTTTTTTTGTTTCTCTTAACAGCTCCTTTTTAGTTACACCCACATATTTACATCATCAGTCTACGGTGTGTCACTGAGACTTCACACCAACCTACAGCAGCAGCAGCACACTGAAATAACTTAACACAACTCACAGAGCTGTGGACGCTTCCAGGAGAAGTGCTGATGCATTTCTTATTGCCAACAAATCCCAGGAACACACAGAGAAATCCAACCATTAAAAACACAGATTACAGCCAACATGGGCGCTGCAGTTTAGAGTTACAAACATGTATCCATCCGCAGCTGAAAGTAGTCCCTGCTTGAGTGCTGAAAACTGCAGTGCCCGGCCTTCTTAGGAAAATATACATTCATGAACCTGTTTTAGTAAGAATGAAGGTGAAGAGGTGAAGCAGGGCCCGATTCACGGAGCTTGTTGACAGTAAGAAAGCTACAGAACGACACCAAACTCGTCTGTTATCACATTTGGGAGTCTCCAGATCAGGAATCATCCAGAGTTGCCACATGAAGGTAAACATCCACAGTCCACAGTGCAAATGTTTCATCTCGGATTCTACAATAACGGAGACGTCGCTGGCGTCGCGTGTCCGTCGGCCGAGAGCTTTGATTGGATGAGCCAGTTAATTGGCTCCGCTCTGTGACACGATTGGAGGAGGAACAGCTGCTCGAGTCCGATTGGACAGATTTGCTGAAAGAGGGGACGGGCGCCTGTTTCTGTCGGGACCGAATTACTGGACCAGCTGTGTTCAGTTACGAGTCGACCAGATGTGACGAATCGTTTCTTTACAAAAATTAAAGGTCACGACGTGCTGGTTGCCTCTTATTCGTCGCTGACGTCTCGAACATTCTGTCCTGTACCTTCAGATCTAATTAGCATCCAGGTCAGCGCGGTGGAGGCTGCCCTTAACTCTGACCTACATTCGAGCACGACCAGCCGACCCGATGCCAACAAACAGCCCCATTCTGCCCTTCCTCATCCTGACAATGGCTGCCGGGTGTGGGGTGTCAAATCTAATGAAGCGGGCAGCAAACAACAGCTGAGTGTGTGTGGAAATGTGGGGAGAGAGGAGGGAGGCAGCGGCCAAGACACAAGTGTCCTTGTCAAAGCCGAAGTCCGGCCGGAGCGCCGCTGACCGGCTAAAATGGCTGCCGGTCGACGCTCTGAATCATGCGAGGTCTCAGGGAGGATGAATCCACTCCGCTGATGCAAAAGGGCTTCGGGTTTGTTGAATCTGAGCGGTAATCGAAGTGTTGCACCAAATCTCGTCGGATTCTGAACCGTTTACTTATTGCTCCGTGTTTTCATCCTGCGCTCGCTCGCTCTATTTGATTGAGGATTAGGACTGGATTACCTCAGGAGGGAATATGTACCGCAGCGTGTCCGCCGGCGCGCAGAGGTCAGATCTCACGGGGGGAGGAGGCGTGTTTTTCATATGACATTGTGGGAGAGTTTACAGTGAAGCATCACGGCAAAGTGACCGAGGACGGAGGACAAACGTCTCTGCATTTTTACTCACTGAGGCTCTTTTTTTTTGTTGTTGTTGTTCTGCAGCTCTACGGAAACAGAACAACCACGATGAAGGAGAGAGAAACGTCTTCTGTGCAGCTCTACGTACTGTTGATATTTCACTGCTTCCGTTTTAAATCTGTCTCAACACTGTTTCTCCTCTCTGATGAGTGCAAACACTGATTGCAGTTCAGCTGAGAAGTCCCTGAATTTTCATCACATGACTGCTGGTTGCAGCTGAGTCACCGCTGGTTTCACAGCTGATCCAAGGAGCGCAGAATTTTTTGTTTTTTACAGAATCTGGTTAGAACAAACTGGTAATTTTTTTTGGCAGTTTTCAATTGAGGTGTCTATCTATAATTGAGGCAAGAAATCTCCCGACTTTAAGATTAGACTTTGGTAAATTCTCTGACAGAACCGCACACATCACAGATTGTTTGGTCAAAGATCGTCCTGACGGTGAAAATTTGATGGTTCTTTCTCCTTTTCAATGGTTTGCTGATAAATGGTGTAACTACAGCAGTTTTCTTTTATAAACTCGACTGTTTTTTGGGTTTTTTTTGGGAGTTCTATTTGCCACAACAGCTGGTTTTAAGATTTAAAACCGCCTCCTGGACCAACAAAATGGGTCATGTAGTAAATCTGAAGGGTTTCCAGATGATTCTAAAACTGATTTTCCACCAATGTTTGCTTTTTGGGGGCAAATTTTCCTGTTTGGAGTCTCAAGCTTGTTAAAATTATCACTGATCAAGTCCAGCAGTGAGAGTTCAGCCGAGTTGGAAATGTTGTAAAAAGAAGCAATAGCAAAGAAAATGCAAATTGGACTTTTTCTGCTTTGTCGTTAATAATCTAGGCCTGGTAGTGTTGTCAGAAGGTGGCGCTGTTAGCTGTAATGAACAGAGTAGAAAAAGCTAAAAAAAAAAAAAAACACCAGCGAGAAGAAAAAGACGTAAAACTTTGTCTGTTTATCAAAACAAATTGGAGGAAAGTCTTGTTTTCAGTTGGGAAAGTCGTGTTTTTCCTCCTTGTCAGCTGGTATCAGCCACTTCTCATGACTTCCACAAACAAACATCTGATCAGCCCTGCAGGTTAGACGTTAGAACTAAACTTTCAAAAACCATTTTAAATGAGCACGACATTTTTAAAATTCTTCAGAATGTGCATCGAAACAGTTTCTGGAAACACGACGGCTGTTTCATTTAAAGTGGCCAAAGGTGAAAAAGATTAAAACCAGTTTTGGACAAATCTACAATACATGAATGCAGGTGAAAATTACAGTTTAAATAGAGAAGTTTTAGTCTTTTTATGCCCTGAAAGCGACTGTAACGTGTTACTAGCAGCTGTGGAGCTGATGCTAAGCTTTGTTTGAGCTGCAGCACAAACTGACCTCGGTCTGAGTGAACTGGACTGACATCTGGCCGCCGGAAACTAAACTTGTGGACGTCTGGGGAGCTGAAATCCAGAAGCTTTAAATAAAAATTTCCATTGAAAGTATGTAAAATTCACATTGATGAACTTTTGGCTCCTGGTTGATCCACGTCTAACGCACACATTTAAGCTCGCTGGGAGACTAAAGCCACTGAAGCACAAATACCAACAGTTCATTTGAGGGACTAATTTAACCGGAGAGGAACGTGACGGCACACAAACTGGGACAAACTCAGAAGCAACAAACCCGCTCAGTCGCGACGGCATTCATCCACCGTGAGCTGCACATGTGTGTCACTCGGCGACGCGTTCACACGTGTGTGTTTGTACACATGTGTGTGTTTACAGTCGTGGTCCGGCCCGGCCCGGATTAGCCGCTGACGCCCTGCAGCCAACCGGACAAGAAGGGGGCAGAGGTTGGCGAGGGGAGGGGCTGCGGTAATCTGCTAATCTCATTAATACCACGGCCGAGGGCGCCCTGTCAACAAGATGCAGCGAACAAAGGACGGCGTAAACAGCTGACGACCCTGGCCGCCATCCACCGAACAACCCAACCCAAAGCCACGCTCTGCCTGCACCGGGGAACTCTCCTCAGGTTGAATAAACACTCTGACAGGTCGGAGAGAGTGAAGACAAAAAGCAGCAACTGCACTGACTGTTGGTTTGGGTTTAACACAGCAGGACCTGAGGTGGAGCTCTCAGCTGCTCCCGTCAGTCAGAGCTGAGGCCGAGCATCCAGGAAAACACACCTTGTGGAGCTGAACATGTTCAGAATAACACCAGTGAAGATCTGTGAGCAGCGGCGGCATCTTCCCGCCCCGTGCACACTGTTTAATCACATTCAGAGAGGCGGCGGCAGCGGCGGCGGCGGCTGGGATTTCTGGCTGTGCAGATGCAGAGGAGCAGCTGGGACGACTGGGACCAGACATGGGGGGTCGGACCGGGACAGGTGCACCAAATGGTTCCCCAGTTACAGTAAACACAGGTAGAAAAAAACAGCCTCTGTTCAGGCCAAATCATGCTTTTCATGTCCATGTCATCCAATCAAATCCACAAAAGCCCTCCGTGGACGTCCACGTGCAGCCTGAAATCTGTGAGCCTGCACAGAAAACCAACAGCGTGTCAAACAAGTATTTGTTCAGAGAACAGCTTTGGGGGAGATTCTCAGTGGTCCACTCCTTCATAGCCCATCATCTAAAGAGGTGGAATCGAAGTAGCTGCTGCTGGACTTTAGAGGTTCTTTAATTTTCCAAACACGGAGTGAGGCTCTAAAATCTCCTGTGTTTGATATGAGGGAACTTATTGTAGATAAACAGAACTAGTTTTGTGCACAGAGACATGAAAAGCATGAATGAACCTTCAGCCTGTGGATGGAAGGACGACGGCAACAAACAGTTCGAGGCTCTAAAATCTCCAGAAATCTGTCCGCCCACAGTTCGTGTTTTTGTGTTCAGTATGAGGAAACCTATCGTAGTATAAATAAAATGACTTTCAAAGTCCACATTAATCTGCACACACGGATGCGGAAAGCATGACTCGACCTTCAGCCAACCGATCTGTGGACGGACGGGACGACGGCAGCAAACACAGACGGGATGATTAAATAAGTCTCCGTAAGTCCGTCGATGGGCCTTCACAGCAGGACGAGGGGAGTCTGTAGGAGACACATGAGTGTTTGTGTGCACGAACGTACAAAAAGGCATGCGTTCAGCGAGGGCCCGGAGCTCCTCTCACCGATCCAGAACCCGACTGTAGTCCTGAGGCCCGCAGCCGCCCTCGCTCTTCAGTTCAGCGAAGACTTGCGTGAAAAAGTGCGGGTCTGCGTTGATCCGCAGCATCTTGGCGCTGGTGGCGTCGATGATGGCGAGGCAGCGGTCCCAGAAGGCCTCCTTGCCTGCCTCCACCAGGAAGGGCTTGAGAGGGTACGAGATCTCGTTGCCCATGTAGGAGTAGGACAGGTAGAGGCAGGTGAGCAGGATGGCCTGCAGCTCGTGCTCCGACGCCACCAGGTCGCCGTCCACCACGTCTCGGCACAGCATGTAGACGAAGACCACGTTGGCGGGCGTGACGAAGGCCTGGTCCTGCCAGCCCTGCAGCAGCAGCGAGCGGTCCACGGCCCGCAGCCACAGCACCGGGTCGGCCGGAGACAGGTGCTTCAGGCGGTAGCAGCGGCAGCACAGGAACTCTCCCAGGCAGCGCAGCAGCTCGCTGGTGGACGCCTGGACGATGACCCTCTTCGGAGACGAGCTCACCGTCCCCTGAGGAACCTTCTTCACAGACGACAGCTGCTGGGATTTGCTGTAGCCGTAGCCGTGGCCCTGACCCAGACCCAGGCCGTAGCCGAGCCCCAGACCCAGGCCGGCTGGGCCCTCGTAGCTGGACAGGTTGGCACATGACAGCGACTTCTTCACATTCTCTCGGTTGAGGTGCAGCACCGGGTCCTTCTGGTAGATGTTGATGTTGTTGTTGTTGTTCAGGGGATCTCCGAGGCCAACCGGACCTCCGGGCGCCTTCTTGGAGTTGCCCTTCTTCTTCGTAGAAGCCACCAGTCGCTTCCACGTGAGCGCCGGCAGGAAGATGGACTGTCCTCTCTTCAGGCCGCGGTCCTTCTGGCTGTTGAGCGAGCGGCTGCTGAGGCTCGGGTAGTGGCTGAGCGAGCCGGGCCGGTTGTCATAGTAGCCTGATTTACGGGAGCCGGGGGACAGCGAGAGTACAGTGCCCATGGTGAGTCAGAGCTCCAGAGACGATACTGACGAAGGCGTTTCTTTTATTTCCTAATATCCAGAAGATGTTGACACTCAGCAGGAGAGCATGATGAAGAGATGAGCAGGAGGAGAGCTGATGGCACAAGAACACAAAGGTCAGACCCACATGGACTCACACATACACTGTAAAGTGCATCTGAACATCCAGACAGGAGAACATGATGTCTGTAAAAGTACCAAATGCTTCTCATGTGGAGGATTTGCAGCAAGAAAAACGTCACATTTCATGTTTAAATATCTTTTCTGTTTTTTAAGTGGAGGAAGAACACATGCGACTCCGTGTGCAGCAAACAGTTTGTTCAAACCTTTAGGGGGAAATATTCTGGAATTTTAAAGGGTTAACGAGCAGCCTGATTCAATCTGTCAACAGATTCCTGGATTTTAAACTGTTCAGAGGATTCCTGTCTTTCTTCTAATTAGCACGAGCCTGAGCCCAGACACACTTCAGCCCAGTCACAGCAGTCAAACAGCTCTGGAAGGTGAAAGCTGGATCATCGGGTGAATGAATCTCACAGCAGCAGCAGCTCACCTGTTTCACGGACGCTGTTGTGTTCGTGCCGCAGTCCGCGGCGGTGCGCAGACGACTGAAGATCCAGCAGCGCTCCTACAGATGCGGGGCTGCGTCGGTCCTCTCCCGGCGGGCTGCAGGTGTCATCCTCCGGCGCACCTCAGACCGTCCACCGGCTCACGGCTGACTCGGTCCGGATCGACTGTCTCTTCTTGTGCGTCTCCATAGTCGGAAAACGGCGAAAAAAACTTTCACGCAGTCTGAGTCCTTTCAATGCATTCCATCTCCTCCGTGCGTAAAGTCTCCGCGCACTTCTCCTCCGCGCTTCCCCGGTGCCGGACTCCGGCGCTGGACTCCGGTGCAGCAGCTGACGGTCCGCACGCTGAGAGCTGCAGCCGCCTAATGACCGGCGATCGGTGCGACCTCAGACCGAGTTGTGCCTCATTAACGGCGGAGCAGCCAGTGAGCTCCGAGCGGCGTCACACCGCCTCCCACCGACAGACTCCTCCTCAGCTGCTGCGCGCACACTGTGGACAAAACACACACACACACACACACACACACACACACACACACACACACACACACACACACACACACACACAGTAAACTGCTGTTAATGGATCCATCAGTCAGTGTTTTCTGATGTAACGAGCTTTTTAAATTTTATCACGAAAATCACGCAAGACAGAAAACATTTGATATAAATCCTTTAAAATAAAAGTGCAATTAAGCTTAACGAGCAGGACCCTGATGCTGGATTACCTTCATGTTAGAGTTCATATAAAAACACTTTGATGAAACAAACTGACTTTAACAAGTGATGTGAACCCTGATAACACAACATAACAGTAAACTGACAATATACACATTAATATAACAATAATAACATTAAATATTATATTGACTTCACTTTAATAAGCCACCACCATTAACCTGTTGATAGTAAATCATTTTAATGTGCAACTGCTGCTTTAATTAATTACTTTTTAATATTAAAATAATACAAATAATCCTATAAAAAAATATACACAAAATAATGTAATAAAAAAATAAATAGATAGATTTTAACAAGCACATAATACCTTAATACTAGAAAATGATCATATTAATAACAAATTACAAGTAGCAGTGGATTCATAACTAATTAATAAAACTACAATAAAATAAAAAATAATACAGAATAAATATAAAAACAATAAATAAATAATGTGTGTGTTTATCAAGTAAATAATATTTTAATGGTAGAAAATAATAAACAATACAAGCAGTGACCAATTAATAAATCATTTTAAATAAAATTAAAATGAAGCAAAAAAAAAGTCTATATATGTCATCAAAGCTTTATGTTTCAAATTAAATTTAACAAGTAAATAGTGACATAATGCTATAAATAAAAATAACCACCACAAAACAACTAGCAGCAAATTAATTACTATTTTATATTAAAATAAAAATAATACTATTAACATAAAGTTATTTTAGTAAAAATGTATGCAAACAATAAAATTTAGTTCAACAAGCAAATATTTACTAATAACAGAAAAACAACTACAAGTAGCACAAAAATATAATTAATTAATATTTAACCAAAATGTGACCATCAGAATGTTGCTCAAATTAATCAGAAAAAAGTAAAAATCAAACAGGACAAGTTGTGGAAACAAACTGGTTGAATCAGTGTCTGTTGTGTGAGTTTGATCTGCATCACAAGACCTTCATGACCCAGAAATTTAATTTTCTCATTTATTTTTAAACAAGCTCATTTTTCTTCTGATCATGTGAGTCGATCAAACTCTCTCTTCCACCTTCTTCTTCCAAATTAGATCCTCTTCTTGGTTTTTATTTACAACTTTGAACATTAAACTCAGACTCAGACGTTGTTTTAAAGCCTCTGGGGTGCTGCTGTGTGATGACAGTCACACGATTAAAGGTTCGATCAGTCAGATCAGATCCTGGTGGCCGCTGTGCAGCACTTCAGCTGCTCCAGCAGGTCATTGTCCAGCCAGGAAGTGCAAATGGTGCAGAAAACATGCAGGTCAGGACATGAAAGAAGACGCAAAGTCGTCCTCAGAAGCCTGGAGATGTACACAAAGAGCCCCGGGGGCTGGAGTTATAGCTTCACGCTGATGTATGTGGATGTTAAAGTACAGAATCAGGGTGAGAATCCTCCTTGCAGGTGTGTGAAGCTGCATCCAGCCGTCGTCCCGTCTGCGCTGCATGTTTTTGTTGTAATAACCTTAATGCTGCTGAACCGCCGCCCGGAGACGCATCAGATTTAATGGAAAATGAAATGCTGCTGATGAAATGACAGCCAGCGACACACCTGGAGGGTTACTGGGAGGTAAAGCCTCGCTCACGTGGCGGCCGGCCGGGCCTCGTTATGCAACCGTCTCCATGAGTCCATCCTGTATTGTAGGTCATGGAGCCGCCTGAGCTGGACAATAAGAGGATCATCGTTTGAAGGATAAAACATCAATGAGGTCCTTCTGCTGGAGGTCTGGACCTGCACGTGCTGAGCTCAAGTCAGAAATATGGCGTCTGGCTCGGTTTCTTGTGTAATGTTTGTCGTTAAGCCAACCTGTTGTGAAACGGAGGTTTTCTGAGCTCTTCTAAGTCGTTTATCATCGACCGCAGCTTTATAGATCAGTAATAAGCCAATAATAAGAATTGCTTCTGGGCTGCCCAGAAGTTAGTAATCCCTCTGAGTGGACGGACTGTTGTTAGCAACATGCTAATGTTAGCATCTGCACAGCTCACGGCCTTCAGCAGTGACTCATGTGTCTGCAGCCGTTTATACACAAAAAATAGAATAAAAAAAGGTTCAAATTTGGCAGCAAGGGTTTCAGAAAAATCATACTAAAAATGGTGAATACTATAACAAGGAAATAGTGTAAAACTTTTAAAACAAATAACAGTAAATATCTGTAAAATAATGATGTATATTTTAGCAAATTAAAAAAAAAAAAAAAAAACTGAATTAATTCAACGACATGCACATTTTTAGTGTATTTCTGTGATTTAACTCCAAATTAGTAATTTAATAGAAAAGAGGAGATCTGTATGATGACACTTACAAATTACAAAAAAATCTAAAATACAGATGTAGCTAATTATGAACAAAATAATATTAAACTAAACGAAATAACAATGTACAAAATCAATATAACGATAATGAAAATGTGTCAAATGTAATTCAGTTTAATTGTCCAGTAATTGATAGAAAATACTTAAAGTGTAACTGCTATTTTATTTAATTATTATTAATATTAAAAATAATAACAAAGAATCTTATAAAGTTACTGTGATCGTGATTTAACACAACAGGGGAAATTTGGACAATAAAAAGCTTTAATATGTACAATTTTTCTATTAATAAATGTCAGATGTGTTTTAAAAAGACATTCAAAAAATGTAAATACAGAAAAAAAAATGGTGTCATTTTCGGCTTAAACATTGAAAAACAAGAAATTATCATTTAGAACAATTATTGACAGTTTCAGCTTTGGGGTTTTTTGTTTGCATTTTAAAAAAATAGTTATAACTGTTTAATATTAAAATAAATTCCAAATAAAATAGTTATAATTTTTAAAAATAAATTCATGCTGTTTTCTATGATATTACTTATTAAAATATTGGGTTCATCAACATCATCGACGCCACCAGCTTAATATACAGAATTATTATTTAAATAACAATAAATATCTGTAAAATAATTTTGTCTGATTTAAATACATTAAAAAAAGAAGTGTATTTTTACAGTCAAATGTTAAAAACTAATGAATTTTTAGAATTAAAGCGTAGATTTTATTTACGTTTTTTGCCCCCATTTTTACAGTTAAAATGAAAACAATATTTTTCTGTGATTTTACTATTATTTGTAATTTAATTTTTTTAAAAAAAGAAACATTTGTAAAATATCAGTAAATTGTTCAAACATTTTAAAAAAGTCAAGAAGCTGTTTTAAAAATCTATTTATTTTTTTGCAGCCTACTTGTATAAGGGATGCTTGTATCTGCATTATTACCAGGAAGAAAGACAAACAGCTGCCAGAGATCCTTGTGAGCTGCAGCTCATCAATAACTTTATGCATCGTAAACATGTTGACAGCTTCTCTTCTCAGAAAACGCTCTCAGTTATTGTCAACCTGCTCTGGGGCTTGAGTTCACTGTGCCAAAGCTGCTCTGGCACCGCGGACAGCTCAGGACTTTCTGCGAATCAGAGGATAAATTTAGCTCCGTCTTGGTCTTCGCTGGGATTCCCTGGATGGCAGCAAACCTGAGTTTTAATCACACGGTGGTGAAGCAGATGAGATAAGATGGGATTGTGTAGGGGATGGAAAGAAGACGTGGAAAAAGATGAGTGGAGGCAGGAAAACAGGAGAGTTCTGTGAATGTTAAAGCCTGAATCAGACGTCACGTCCTCAACCAGCAGCAGCAACAACTGAGTTTGGTACATTTATATATTAGATGATATTGTAGATTGTCAGATACATTTCTAAGAAGGAGAGAGAAATGTCTTTTCTGCATTATCACACAGTTAAAATTCAAATGAAGGAATAAGACATTAATTAGAAACTAATTTAAAACATTAGATATCTGGAGAGTCGCCTTTTCCCCTCAGTTGGTAACACCTGTGGACGTGTGGAAAAATGTTGAACATGTTGATTCCAGGTTGTTTTTTTTAGTTTTTGTGAAAAAATATTTTTTAAAAATCTATTTTTTTAATATTAGAATTTGTGCAGTTTTAACTGTGTGATAATGCAGAAAAGATGAAAGATTAAATTACACGTTTCTGTCTTTCTTTCTTATATAAATCTGTTATTTTAATTTCTAATTACTTAGTCCCCCCAGTTTTTCTTTTAAATGATGGAAATTGTCTGTAAAATAAAAAATACTTTTAATACAGTAAAACAAAACAGAAAAGTGTAATTTAATATTTAATGTTTAATTTTCATTATCACACAGTTAAAGTTGCATAAATTCAAATTTTAAAAAAACAACCAAAAATGAAAGTTGAATTTTTTAATATTTTTTTTTATTCACAAAAACAAAAATAAATAGATAAATAAGTAATGGAATCTACATGTACAACAAGTGTCCTCTGGTGTTCCCAACACTAGAGGGAAAAAAAACAAAAAAAAACAGTTTTAACGAGCTTCTTCTAATGAGCTCCTCCACTGCTTCATGTCGACACTGTGACTGTCGGTGCAGCTCCGTCACTCAGCTTCTCAGCTGCACCAAGAAATGTTGAAGTTTTAGTTTTTTTGTGAAATCTTTTTCTTTAAATGACAGAATGAAGC